TATATAACCAATCTAAGAATCATCAGAATAGGATTGTGAAGATTGTTGAGTTTTAATTGAACTCATGAATCGACCACGATTAAAAACCTAGAAGCACTAGACATCAGTCCGATGGAAATATTTTAACGTTTGACACGTAAAACGCTCTTATTGTGACTAAAGTTTTCCCCCATCAGCCTAGACCATTCCTAGTACTATATAAAGAAGTCTCTACTGTCACAAAGTCAACAGGAAACCTTGAGCCAAGGTTTTAAGTTATTTAGACACTCTTGAAAAGAAACGAGGTGTTTTTTTAGATGTTATAAGATAGTAGCCACTGATATTCAATTATTGCGCAACAAAATCAACTACCATTCTCACTTGATTCCAATTAGCTTGTTCGCATATTATAGTCGAACAGTTTATATTTCCATTCGCTCATTAAAGAAGTTTATCACAGCGCTAAAATCTTCGAGAGAAATAAGTTATGAAGTTAATATTTCAAATATTTTTCTCCTTTTCTCTAAATGTACCATGTTTTCTGATTATTTCTTCCGGTTAGCATATTTGTTTTTGAGCAAGTTGATTTTCTACGGGGAGATGGGCTACTGAACCTCATGCTCAAGCCTCTTACTTTATCCAAATTCGGGACTGGCAGTAACCTTAGAAGGTCTGTAGCAGAGAACTTACAGTGAGAAAGAACAAACCAAATTCCAGCTGAAGAAACTATTAAGAAAAAACCGTTAGAGGTGGATGAAATACACATTGCAGAAATCACCGAACTGTGTCACAAAGAAAGCCCTGACTTGGTATGCTCAGTGTCAAAGGAGATGGTGGTAGACCAACGAACATACTGAGCCAAGAATCGGAAGCAGACATGAAAAGAATGGATGACAAGTGAGGAGAACTTCAAAGGAACATCCAGAACAGTGTAAGGCTGAGGAATGCTGGTCATCAGCGATCGATGCTCTACGAGGGGTGAGTTAGTAACATGTTTATAGCCATAGGTTTTATGTAAATCTGTTATAATTTAACCTAAGTTGTGTTTGTTAGTAAAACAATACAAGAAAAAAGTAGAAGGAAATCACATTTCAATTTGTACACATGGTGATCTTAATTGCTTTTGTTCAACGTTCAATGATTCACGTGATTACAGTCAATAATCAATAAACAGGTATGATATAAAACATGGTGATAGTTAGTTATAAACAGATTAGTAGAATATATAGTAATCTGGAAACCACTGACATTGAATTATGATAAAAGTTTAACCTTTGAACCAGTTTTGAACTCCTAAATTGAGTCAATTGTTTGAACTGTTTGGTAATCACTGATTGTTATTGATGATATCTATTTCATTCTCAATGAAGTTGCGCAACTCCATGAATTGATTGAAGTTAGACATGAACACCGTAAGATACCGGTTCAGTGGTCAAGAGGTTAGGCGTTCGCCCCTAAGACCGAAGGTCCTGGATTCGAGATCTGCGAGAGCTGGATGATCTGGACTTCGCAGATGACCTGGCTCCTCTATCGCACACGCAACAACAAACGCAAGATAAGACGACCAGTGTAGCAGCAGCCTCTGCAGCAGTAGGTCTCAACATACATAAAGGAAAAAGCGAAATTCTTCGATGCAACACAACGTACACCAACCAAATCACTCTTGATGGAGATGCCTTGGAGGACGTTGACACATTTACATATCTTGGCAGCATCATCGACAACCAAGGTGGATCAGATGCAGATATGAGGGCGCGGATTGGCAAAGCGATGGCTGCATTTCTACAGTTGAAAAATATCTGGAAATCCAAAAACAACTTTCAACCAAAACCAAAATCAGGATTTTCAATACAAATGTGAAGACAGTTCTAATGTATGGAGCGGAAACTTGGAGAACTACGAAAGGCATCATCCGGAAGATACAAGTGTTTATTAACAGCTGTCTACACAAAATACTTCGATAGGAAAAATTCTCAAGCTCCTGTTAGAAGCCGTAAAAAATGAAGGTGAACAGTGTCGACTACTGATAAGCCCGCTAAATGAATGTCAACTATGAATTTCTATCAACTTCTTATAACCCCAGACTAAATATACACTGCAACTTGAACACACAAGAAAAGGTGCAAAGTAGGAGATGAACAAACTTTACTCCTCCAAGGTTTGTTTGTGTACAGAAAAATGAGGTCATTTATAGGGCTACAAATGACCTGTGCTTCCGGAATGTCTGAAAATGATACTAAATATGCAATTGGAATGGTGTTATGCTTGTCAGTTGATATGCCTGAATGCTATTACGAGTTCACCTTAGTCGGTAAACGAGAGCGAAGAAAAATGATCCAGTGACACGATAGACTACTCTAATCCGAGCGTCCTAAGGCCCCACTAAGTCAAGTAAGAAGTCGTGGTATGACCTACAGATTGTATTCTACAAGCACTCACAAAATATGAGGTCTACAAGTTTATTTATACTTTATAGAAAAGTCCTTGGGAGAGTCAAAAAAATAGCGTACTAAAATAATACATCAACCAATAACAACAGCCAAAGATTTCCGAGTGGGAACTATGATCTCAAGGTCAACTGATCAGCCCATGCTCGAAAACATTATATCCAAAATTAGGACCTTTTCCAAGTGAGTTCTGGAGGTATGACGTCCCCAACAAATGGTGGCATGTGAATCTGCATTTTCCAGATATTTCTCCGAAGATTCCACTGAATATTGACTGGTTGAAACGTCTCCTATCTATTCTCGGCCTCCATAGAGTTTTTCGAGGGATATTTCGTGGCTTCTGAATAAGTTATAGTTCTGATAGAACAATAAGAGTTTTTCACGTGTCAAACATTGAAATGATGTATAACATTTAAATCGGAAGTTAATTTCATAATTTTTCCTTAGTGTTTCCAGGTTTTGTGATGGTGTTATCTAAGTAATATCGACTATTTTTAATTGCAATAAAATTCGACAACTTTGACAGTTTTTATACTGACATTTATCATGTGCTTACTAGTAGAGAGTCTGTGGCAAACGAAGAACATACTTACAGAAGTCAATAAAACATGGTTGAGCACTATCAAAGACTGATTCAAATTACACTTATACACCACTGGGTCGTGACTAGTTGGTCAGCACCTCATCCTTATGGCTTCTTCAGTTGAAATCTGGTTAGTTCTCGTCCACATTAGATTGTTACTAATAATATCTTATCGACAGATGTGGAGTATCTAGCGTAGATAAGTGTTAAAAAACACTTGTATCTTCCTAATGATGGCTTTCGTGGTTCGCCAAGTTTCCACTCCATACAGTAGAACTGTGTTGACATTTGTATTGAAAACTGTGACTACGGTGTTGATTGTTGAAGAACTGTCCTTGCTTTTTCAACCGATGCCTTCATATCTGCGAGTCAGATCTACCTTGCTCATCAATGATGCCTCCCAGGTGTGTTAACGTTTCCACATCCTTCGAAGCTTCTGCATCATGTGTGATTTAGTTGGTGCCTACTGTGATGTATCGGAGGGTCTTGCTTTTCCATTTGTGTATATTGAGACGAACTACTACAGAGTCTGCTGCTACATTGGTCGTCTTCTCTAGCATTTGTTGTTATTGTCTGTGGGATATAAAGCCTAGATCATCTGCGAAGTCTAGATCGTTCAGCTACAACCCATACTTCCCCTCAGATGTTGACGTCTTCATGATTCAGTCGTCCAACAAGTGAAACTGAATCGGCTGACTATTAGTTGTTTGTTGTCAGCTCAAACTGAAAACGTGTTTCCAGAATCAGTAAAATCATGTTTTTACTTATAATAACTGTCTAAGTACCATTTGAAATGAATAGTTAATCCCAATTTTCAAAATAATATAATCACCAAAATTACAGTTGTATCATTTGCATTACGGGGTTGTGAAGATTGTTACGTTACACATTTTTGAAAACATGGATCGATCAATGTTAGATTATACCATTAGAAACCTGGAAGCACTGGACAGCTGTTTCGTCCTGATATCGGACTTATCCATGGCGGTGTGCATCCACGACTCCTGTACCCCACAGGATTCGAACGCAGGAACTTCGGTATCGTGCGCGAACGCCTAACCTCCAGATCACTGATCTGGTATCTAACGGTGTTGATGTCTAACTTAATCAATTACCTGTGCTCAGTGATGACTAGCTTCGTGAGGAATCTTCTCCCAGTTCTAATGGGAGGACGCGACCAGTGAAGTTCAATCTGTTCGGGTGTAGACAGTAACCACTACCGAAGACTGTGTATGAGGTTGCGCAACTCCGTGAATTGACCGAAGTTAGACATCACCACCGTTAGATACCAGCTCATTGGTCCGATCGTTAGGCGTTCGCGCACATTACCAAAGGTCCTAGGTTCGAATCCTGCGGGGTACAGGAGTCGTGGATGCGCACTGCCACTGAAGAGTCCCATACCGGGACGAAACAGCCGTGTTTCAGTGCTTCGAAGTTTCTAATGGTGTGGTCTAACATTGATCGACTCATGGTTTCAAAAACTGTATCAATCCCAATTTCGTACATATATATTTGAAAAATGAAGTCATTTGTTTTTTTCAAAGCATGTAAACACATTTATACAATGAAATCAAATGAAGTTATACAAACATATATATATATATATATATATATATATATATATATATATCACAATCAATCTACATAGATTGAAAGATCTCATTTAAAAAATATCCTCATTAAACAATAATGTCGAATAAATTTATCACAATTATACATTGTACACATTGAAAATCGAAACTAAAAGTTGAACAATAAAAGAAAAACTTCAACATTAATCAAAAAATAAAAAGTAAAAATGAACAGTTTTTGTTTTTTTTCTGGAAAAATAAATACTTTCAAAAATAAATAATAATTTGAAATTAAGCGGTTAACTCTATCTATGTTCAACATCTTTTAAAACAAATTCAATGTGTTGTTCAATAAACAATAAAAGAGATTATTGAAAATAAACAAACAAGAATAAAAGAATGACAGATTGAAATTAAGCGGTTAACTATATTTTGAACATCGTTTAAAACAAATTCAATGTGTTCAATAAATAAAAGACAAGAATAAAAGAATGATAGATAGATAACTGTCAAGATTAATTCAATATGTATGTATGCATACATGAACCGGTACGTAGGTAGTGTTTTCTTCAACTATATGAGAGTAAATTACTTCACCTGACATTGTACCTTGAACAAATTGACATGGAGATGTAGCGCATGATGAGAATGAAATGTTCAATAAATAGAAAATTCAGAATTTTTTTAAAAAAAGAAAATTCATTGATAACAATTTATGTAGTTGGATCTTCTAAACCGAATAAAATTAACATTTGATGCAAAGTTTCAATATGAGGTTCAATTGCCAGAGTGAATTGTTCCACCTCTCTGAGTACCTTTCGATGGAGAAAAAATAAAATATAAAAAAAAGTGTTTTTGGTCATACGGTTTCATAGTTGAAAACTGATGTATAAATCAACACTTTAGGTTAATGGTCATGATTTCCTACTGCAACTCTGAGGAGATTCCTCACGGAGCTGGTCACTACTAGTGAGCACAGGTTGGGAGGATTTTTAAGTTACACATTTGAAATCATGAATCGATCAATGTTAGACCATCTTTAGAAACCTAAAAGCACTGGATGGAATTTTCGTCTTGGTATCGGACTCATCAGTAGTGCGCTTCCTGACTCTTGCGCCTCTTAGGATTAGAACCCAGGAATTTCGGTCTTAGGTGTGAACGTCTAACCTGTCGGGTGTAGGCAGTAACTACCAAACAGAAATGGGTGAAGATACGTATAATCTCTAGATTGATCACAGTTAGACATTACCACTGCCGAATGCTGGCTCAGTGGTTCAGCGATTAGGCCTTCACACTTAAGACCGAAGGTCCCGGATTCGAATCCTGCGAGCTGTAGGGGGTTGTAAATGCGCACTGCTAATGAGTTCCATACCAAGACGAAACGACCATCCAGTGCTTCCAGGTTTCTCACGGTGGTCTAACAATGATCGATTCATGATTTCAAATGTGTAAAATAACAATCTTCACAACCTCGTAATGTAATTACTTGTGCTCACTAGTAACCAGTTCCGTGAGAAATCTTCTCCGAGTTCTCATAGGAAGTCGTGACCACTAACCTCCCGGTACTCACAGGATTCGAACCCAGGACATTCGGTCTTGCGCGCGAACACCTAACCTCTGGTTATTGTAAGGTAGAAACTTTTCTACTTCAGCTTGCAGTTCATGGTGTTTTAATGGTTAGAGAAACCACCTTAATCAATAATCCATTCTGTTGTTGAACTAATCAACATGAAGGGTTTGAACTGATTTTATTTCATTGTAATTTAATATTCGCAAAAAGTGTACAAACAGGAGTGTTGCTTTGATAAAAGTATCATATAATGCTGGCCTGAGTCGGCCAATCATACTGAGCATCACAGTTCACGTGCTTTGCGCTAAAATTAACATTTATTGATAAAAAATTTGAATGTTATTACTACTAACGCAGTAAAAATCAGTAATATTTAATTGTTTTAATGCTTGAAATCAAATCAAAGGTCCTGTGCTCGATTCCAGCAGGCAGTCTGTTCGGGATGTTAGATCCCCAAGAAGTCGCCCATTTATTATATTTGGTTTTTTTTCCACTTACTTACTTATGCCTGTCACACCCAATGGAGTATAGGCCGCTGATCAGTGGTCTCCGATTCGCCCTGTCCTAGGCATCCCTTTCTAGTTCTGTCCAATTTTTGTTCATTTTTCTCAAATCTTTCTCTATTTCTCGAAGTAATTTGTTCCTTGGCCTTCCTTTTATCCACTGACCTTGAGGGTATCAAGTGAGAACTTGTTTTGTGACGCGGTTGCGTGCTTTCTGTGGTGATAGTTCTATTCACTTCCACCGCTTCTTCCTGATTTCCGCCTCATTTGGAATCTGATTTGCTCTCTCCCACAGTAGCTTGTTGCTGATAGCGTCTGGCCAACTGATCCGAATTATATTGCGTAAACAAGGACGAGTGTACTGTGCAGTGGTTCGCTCCGTCTTACTTTATGGTTGTGAAACATGGCCAGTGAGAGTAGAAGATATTCGCAGGTTACTGGTTTTCGATCATAGGTGTATCCGAAGCATTGCTCGAATATCGTGGGACAACCGAGTGAGCAACTCTGTTATTAGAGAACGGGTGCTAGGTAAGAATGGCAGATCAATAGATGAAGTAATGAAACTTCATCAGTTGAGGTGGTTGAGACATGTGCTGCGTATGCCTAACCACCGACCGCCTCGACGAGCTATGTTTCGTGGTGTAGGCGTAGGTTGGAAGAAAGTTAGGGGTGGCCAAACCAAAACATGGCACAAATCCATGAAGTCATTGACGGATGGACTGAGTCATGTCGGCAGTTGTCGACTACGTGGTTAAGGGTCCGCGAGGTGAAAGGCATCAATGGTTAGAGACCTTGAGTGACATGGCTCAAAATCGTTTGCAATGACGCCGGTGCATTTCTTCTTTGTGTTCTCTCAAATCCTAATCTTCTGAATTCTTCAACACCTCTAGTTTTGACTTTCTAATCTTATCTCACTGAATCATACTTCTTGAATAATATCTTCTAATCCTAACCTCTCCGATTACTTCTAATACCTTTACTGCCTCTTCTACTATTGGATTTGAATTGACAATTACATCTCTGTGCTAATTTGGTGGTGTTGCACGATGAACTGATGTACTTACGTACGAAGTTCTACGTTGCATCTGACTGAATTCACATCTAAATTAGTTCAAGCATAGCATGGGCGACATGGATGCGCATTGCTGTTAAGTTAAGTCACACACTAGCACACAAACGGTCGTCAAACGCTGTCAAGGTTTCTAATGTCATTCTAACATTGATCGATTCATAATTTTAGTAAATAAAAGGTATTTGATTGTCTTTTCTAATCAATTATCAATAATAATGAGTGTTAGCATGTAAATAAATTCAGTGAGTTTTTTTGCCAAATTAAACATCCATAAACTTACAATCAATTCACAATTATCTTGTTCCAATCCTAATTTTCTGATGAATACTGATCGTTTCGGGACAATACGTAAAACAAACTATAAAGAAATTGATTTGAGCGTAGAAAATGTTACAGTAAGTATAAATTCAAACATGTTAGGATATTCATCAATTTAACCTAAGAGAATTATTTTTGCAAGTCTAATTTTATTGGTCAATTCTTATTGGTCAGTATTATGGTCGTCTTAGTTATTACTGTCATGTCCTTCAATGTTGTTTCCCATTGGTCATCCTAACTGTCAATGTCACAGACTTCAGTGTTGTTTCCTACTCGACCTAACTGTACAAATACGCATTATCTGTAACGTTTTATGACCCTGACCTGGATCTCTAGTCCGGGATGCTGATTCTCTTCTGGATTCGGACCTCATACTTTCTGAATGCTTGTAGAATACATGTTCTACTTCATATCAAGTCTTCTTCTTTTACTCAATGAGGGGGGGGGGGGGCTTCGGACAATCGGATTAGAGTAGCGTGTCGTGTCGCCGGACCATCGATCCTCGCTCTCGTTTTCCGATGAAGGTGAACTCGTAATAGTTCAAGCATATCAAATTGACGTGTTTACGTGCAGGCGAAACAATACACTCGTTTATTATTAACAAAGTTGAGATAAACTGCACAGAGGTTCCAGTATGAATGAATGCACTCTATCAAGTGAGTTATGTTAAGAATAAGATGGCAATTAACTGATTATAAGCGTATTAAAATTGAACACAAGACCTTCAGTATCACAACCGAACGCTTAGCCTGCAGACCATTTAGTCGGCAGTCATCGGTGCTAATTACTCCCTCTAAACAATTCAACGTACTGTGCAACCTCATCTAATGTCTTCGGTAGGCGATTGTCTACACTAGACACGGTTGAACTAGATTGGTCACAGCTTCTCGCTAGAACTTCAAGAATTGTCTCGCTCAACAGTCTTCTGTGAAGAAAATTTGCATATGCTCACTGGCGATTAGGTTCGTAAGGAATCTTCTCCGAGTTCTAATGAGAAACCATGACCCGTGAAGTTCAACTCTGTCTGGGGTGAGGTGGTTACTTACCGAAGACAATGGGTAAGGTCACACAATAAAGTGGATTGATCAAAGTTATACTTGAAAAACCGTTGATCATTCACATGCGAGATCGACAGTCCAATACCCGCATGCAGATTCGGAAATGCACACTGCCTTTGAGTTATATACTAGGACCAAAACGGCCGTCCAATACTTCCAGGCTTTTACCGGTGATCGAACAATACTCCATTCATAATTTCAATGAAATCGTACACATATATGCATGAACAAAATAAAAATACTTTACACATTTTTGAAACCGTGAATCGATCAATGTTAGACCACCATTAGAAACTTGCAAGCACTGGAAGGCCGTTTCGTCCTGGTATCGGATTCATCAGTGGTGCGCATCCACGACTCCTGTACCCCGCAGGATTCGAACCCAGGATCATCGGTATTGTGCGAGAACGCCTAAACTCCGTACCACTGATCCGGTATCTAACGCTGTTATTGTCTAACTTGATCAATGCTGATGAGTCCCATACTAGGACGAAACGGCCGTCTTTCAGTGTTTCCAGGTTTCTAATGGTGTGGTCTAACACTGATCAATTCATGGTTTCAAAAATGTGTAACTTAACAATCTTCACAACAACCCCGTAATGCAAATTATCTGTACTCACTAGTGACTAGCTTCGTGAGGAATCTTCTCCGAGTTATAATGGGAAGAAGTGACCAATGAAGTTCAATCTGTTCGGGTGTAGACAGTAACTACCGAAGACTGTGTATTGATCAAGTTAGACATTAACACCGTTAGATACCGGATCGGTGATCCGATGATTAGGTGTTCGCGCACAATACCGAAGGTCCTAGGTTCGAATCCTGCAGGATGCAGGAGTCGTGCATGCACACTGCCACTGATGAGTAGTCTCATACCAGGAGGAAACGGCCGTCTTTCAGTGTTTCCAAGTTTCTAATGGTGTGGTGTAACACTGATCAATTCACGGTTTCATAAATGTGTAACTTCACAATCTTCACAACCCCGTAATGAAAAATACTACTTACACGGAATGCATGACGCATTAATTTATTATGATATCGTGTTAATGTGACATCATAAGCTTGTGTGATTAGATCACGCATCAATTCATTCTCATTATTTGTTGTTGAATGAGCTAAATTATGCAGAAAACAATTGACAAATTGTAATGTACGTTTTAACCATAATAGACCAATTGAACCGGAAGAATCATCATTACGATTTGTATCATTGGTTAATAAATCATATAATGTATTCACATGTAGATTGGCTGATGCACGTGATACTTTCTGTACGAGAGAATGTATATATAAATAAAAACAGAAAAAGAAACCAGTAAGAGAAGGATATGAGGTTACGCAACACTGTATGATTTATTCAAGTTAAGCATTATACACTACAATACTGTTGGATGCTTGAGATGATGGTAGAGAAGATTTGTAGCTCAGGTGGTGGATGATTGTGGTAGTGGTGGTGGTGTTTGGTTCTCTGAGCTGGATGTTTTGGTTGTGTGGAGCTTTCATCATTGTTCTTCTACTGAACAACATCATCAGCAGCACAAACTTCAGATAGAAGAAGTGAAGTATTCGATTTTCTCCACGTGGTATGACCTGTAGCTTGTTCTGCTAACCTGGATCTTGATTGGTTGCTGTTGTTGACCTTGAACCTGTCGTTGTCTGCACCTTTGTTTTGATTGTATCCCCCCCTTTTGATCTGTTTCTTGATCCTATGTCACCTATGATTTTCCTGATTGGTTGATAAATTGGGTCAATGTCGATGTGTTTGTTGATTGCTGATTGACCTGAGTGCGCCAAGCTCCTAAAAATTCCCTCGTGTTCTTTGTCCTCCCCCTACCCAGTATTTCCATATTGTTCCAATCAAATGTGTGTCCATAATTGTCGGTGTGTATTGATATAAGCGAAGCGTTGTCATGGCGTTTAACTGCTAATTGATGTCCACGTAAACGGAGCTGAACACATCGACATTGACCCAATTTATTAGCCAAACAGAATAATCATAGCCAATACATATCAGAAGGGGGATACAATCAAAACAAAGGTGCAAACAACGACAGGTTTAAGCTCAACAGCAACCAATCAAGATCGAGGTTAGCAGAACAAGCTACGGGTCAAACTACGCGGAGAAATTCGAATACTTCACTTCTTCTGTGTGAAGTTTGTGCTGATTATGTTGTTCAGAAGAACAAGCAAAATATCCAGCTCAGAGAACCAAACACCACCACCACAATGTTGGATGTCGGCTCAGTGTTCTAGAGGTTAAGGGTTCATGCGCTAGACCAAAGGTCCTAGGTTCGGTTCTTACAAGTAGCAGGAGTTATGGATGCTCATTGACATTGATGAATCCCAATATCAGGACGAAACGACCGTTCAGTGCATCCAGCTTTCTAACGAAGGTCTAACATTGATCGATTTACGATTTGAAAGTGTGTGGATAGTAGTATGAAAGGCAGAAAAATAATGATAAGAATCAATAGTCTTTCTTTGGTTTACATTGGAACTATTCTGCAGTGTGCACCAACTGTCCCATAGGAAGGTGAAATCGTGATAGGGAGGTATTGTACCCAAGTATAGCCATCAAACTTTACAAAAGAACAAAATCGCAAAGGTAGTCTCTAAATTCGTATTATAGCAAGGTCATCATTAAGTACCTAGCTTTCGCTATGGTTTACTTTACAGACATTTTGGTATCTCTCTCTCTCTCAGTAGTACTTCAAAAAATCTAGGACTGGGGTCCCAGCAGAATGCTCAAAGCTATCCTGAGTTTAGACCTGTGTGACGTGTTGGTTATGTACTGTTGAGGAGTTCAAAATGAAAATAATTAAACGAAAAAGTAGTTAAATAGTTTAACATTTGAAAGTAACCAGAAGAAATGTTGTAAATATTGAAAAAAGACAATAAACTAAGGTATATATTAACAGGAAACAACATTTACAAATTCGAAAATTCATAAACTAAAGTTTTGCTTGATATTAGCTTTCATATATATTCAACAATTGTTATATCCTTACATTGACTAATAACGCAGAGATGACCTTTAAGTAATCAGTATATAACAAGAACAAAGAAGATGCTGCTCTAGACTTGACTATTTTGCTAATACTAACTAATCCTGGTGACTGACGAAATCTCAGCTCGGATACAGAAGGCTTGATTGGCTTTTGCCTACCTGAGTCACTTATGGCGTAGGCGAGATATCCATTTGCTGACTAAAGGACGAGTGTACTGTGCAGTGGTTCGCTCTGTCTTACTTTATGGCTGTGAAACATTGCCAATGAGAGTAGAAGATATTCGTAGGTTACTGGTTTTCGATCATAGGTGTCTTCGAAGCATTACTCGCATATCCTGGGACAACCGAGTGAGCAACTCTGTTATTAGAGAACGGGTGCTAGGTAAGGATGACAGGTCATTTGATAAAGTAGTGAAATTTCATCAGTTGACGTGGTTGGGACATGTGTTGCGTATGCCTAACCACTGACTAACTACCTCGACGAGCTTTGTTTTGTAGTGTAGGAATAGGTTGGAAGAAAGTTAGGTGCGACCAGAACAAAACATGGCACAAATCCATGAAGTCATTGACAAGTGGACTTAGTCATGTTGGTAGATGTAGGCTACATGGTTGGGGTCCGCGAGACGAAAGTCATCAATGGTTAGAGACCTTGAACGACATTGCTCAGAATCGTTCGCGATGGCGCCGGTGCATCCACTCTTTGTGTTCTCTCAAATCCTAATCTTCTGGATTCTCCAACACCTCTAGTTTTGTCCTTCTAAACTTATCTCACTGAATCATATTTCTTGAATAATATCTTCTAATCCTAACCTCTCCAATTACTTCTAATACCTTAACTAACTCTTCTACTATTTGATTCGAATTGACAATTACACCTCTGTGCTGGTGTGGTATGGCAACATGAACTGATGTACTTACGTACGAAGTTCTACGTTGCATCTAACTGACTGACTGAATCCTGAACATTTAAGAAGAAGAAGAATAACACAAGACCAATGTTCAATAGTTCAAGGTTCTTATTATACTATATAAACTTTCCTTCATATGTATATACACACAAAACTAGACCACATACATCACACCAATCAATAGAAAATAACAACTTTTTACATGAATGAACCAAAAAATAGGCTATATGAGTAAATAAATGCAGGAATATCCTATAAAAGCTTTCAATATTACAATGAGCATAGGGTATCAGCATCTTTACGCTTTTAATGTAGATTGTACACTCAGTGTTGTTACATTCAAAAAGCTTTCGCTAATGTTTGAAATCAACTTTATGTACAGGTAAGCTTTTTAACTATTCCACATATGGATTGAATCAATTCAATTGGATGGTTGAGCAAGTGATTGGTTAGTTCGCTGATTGGTTCTTGAATTTTTTTTATCGATTATTTATTTGTTTGCATGACCTCTGATCACGTGATCAACGGAATTGTTTAATATTAGCTGATAAACTAGATTTATTTCAATGCTTTTGTGAATTGCTAATTACTGATCTAAATGTTATGCTTTGAATAATTTCTTGACATTCCAAAAGTTTCTCAAATCCAAAATTTACTAGTACCCCAATTGAATTCATGTCTATGGTTATTGGTTTTGGGGGGTTCATTTTTAATGACGTGTAGATCTGCTGGGGTATCCATTTTTTTTACATCAAATCGAAACTAGAAGAGTTTCATTTATCTTACATATAATAATAACAGTGCTGTAGTGGATTTTGAATTTATTTGTTGAACAGTGTCTGTACACAAATATTGTAGTCATTTACAGTTAAACCCAAAATAACAATGTTATGAACTAACCTAACTCAATACAATTTGATCTAACTTATGGCGAGTTCGTAGATTTGCAGGCTTTTCATTACTACTGGATAACAATGACCATTTATCAACTGATCATAGGTATAAAAACATATAAATGAATAGATATATAACTTACTTACTTACTTACTTACTTACTTTCGCCTGTTACTGCCGATGGAGCATAGGCCGCTCACCAGTTTTCTCCAACCAACTCCATACTGGGCTACACTTTCTAGTTCTTTCCAGTTTCTGTTCATTCCTCTGATATCTTTCTCTATTTCTCGAAGTAATGTGTTCCTTGGCCTTCCATTTTTCTTTTGACCTTGAGGGTTCTAAGTGATAGCTTGTCTTGTGACGCAGTTAGGTGCTTTTTGTAGTGTATGTCCTATCCACTTCCACCGCTTCTTCCTGATTTCATCCTCCACTGGAATCTGGTTTGTTCTCTTCCACAGTAGGTTGTTGCTGATGGTTTAGGGCCAACGAATCCGAAGTATTTTGCGAACACAACTGTTTATAAATACTCGTATCTTATGAATGATAGCTTTCGTAGTTCTCCAAGTTTTCGCTCCATACAGTAGAATTGTCTTCACATTTGTATTGAAAATCCTGATTTTGGTTTTGGTTGACAGTTGTTTGGAGTTCCAGATATTTTTCAACTGTAGAAATGCAGCCATCGCTTTGCCAATCCGCGCCCTCACATCTGCATCGGATCCACTTTTCTCGTCGATGATCCTGCTATGATATGTAAAGGTGTCAACGTCCTGCAAAGAATCTCCACCAGGCGTGATTTGGTTGGTGTACGTTGTGTTGCATCGGAGAATTTCGCTTTTTCCTTTATGTATGTTGAGACCTGCTGCTGCTGCAGAGGCTGCTGCTACACTGGTCGTCTTCTCTTGCATTTGTTGTTGCGTGTGAGATAGAAGAGCCAGGTCATCTGCGAAGTCCAGATCGTCCAGCTGCATCCTGGCTGTCCGCTGTATCCCGTGCTTCCCTCCAGATGCTGACGTCTTCATAATCGAGTCAATCACCAGGAGAATAGATATATTGATTGACAATTAAGATAACTTTCAAATCGATCATAAAATAAGAACAATTTATACGCTGAAATTAATGTGGCTTTTTTCGAAAAAAAACTTACTTTAATATTCCCTTCTACATCATTTCGTAATAGTGAAAATTTTGTATCCCATAAACCTAATCAACCGAAATATTGATTTAAAGGTAAAAACCACCACAAAATAATATGCATACCTACCGAAAAAATTACAAATCATATCGCAAAGTTGTAAAAATGTTTGTATATCAAGATTTTTTGGATCAGTAAATGTTGGAATATTAGAAAAGAATGTAATCATTGTTAAAATGTCGTTTTTTTGTTGTTGATTGTGAATTGTACAAACAAACAAAACTATAAAATTCACGTTCAAATCAGTTAGTTAAATTGTCAAATCAAAATCCTAAAAGTGAAGAAAGATAAATAAACATCAGAATAGATTATTCATTTCAATTATAATAATGATAATAATATTAACTTATCGACCTGTGAAGACTGTTGAGTCCTAGTGAAGTCGTGAATCGATCATTGTTAGACCACCACTAGTAACGTGAAAGAGCGGTTTTATCCTAGTATGGACCCATAAGTAGTGCTCATCTAAGACCCCTGATTGCGGGATTGGAAACTCAGGATCTTCGGTCTAACGCGTGTAGACCTAACGTCTGTAACATTGGGACTAACACTAATTTATTCAAGCTGTTGCGCAACCTGGCATACTGTGTTTGGTAAGTAACCGCCAACACCCTACAGGGTTGAATTAGCCACGACTTCTCACTAAAAATGAGAGAATTTCCTTACGCAGCTAGTCACTGGTGTGTAGAGGGGGAGTTATGGATGCGTAATGCAGATGAGTATCAATATTAGGATTAAAGTGCCATTCAGTGCCTTCAGGTTTCTAATGGTGGTTTGATAATTATTGATACCTGACTTCAATAATAATAATAATAATAATAATAATAATAATAATAATAATAATAATAATAATGGTATATCTCATTTGATTAGTATAAGATTTGCAGAATATTATTTAAATGTAAGGGTTAGTAATAATATTATTCATCAGTATAAACACAAATTAGAATGAAATTTTCAAACGTCAACCTTGTGGATAAAATTTGAATGGTTTGACCATTAGGTCACTTCTTCAGTGAACTTCATAACTTTTATAAAGATATAAACACTATCAATAATTGAAGTTGCTGAGTTAATTACAGTGTAAACTAATAGAGAATTTAGTTTTGATAGCAGAAAAATGTTCAGTATTCAAGAAATTAGTGTAGGAACTCTAAAATGATAGGTGATAAATTCGAAGACTACACTGAGGCTGTACATACATCTGACTAATGACCAGGTGAATAAAGAACAGTATTCAAACTTCCTAATCTAATGTTAACTACTAATAGACGTTAAATATGCCGGTAACGTTAGTGAAAAAGCCAAGTTTTGGGACTTAAGGGAAAGAAAACATATGCATAACAAATTTTTTAGTTGAAAAACAAAAGGTGGCTGTAAACAACAAACATGCTACAAACTAATAGAAAATTATTAGATTAGATTTGTAAGAATCATTCATTTAAATATGACTGGCTTCAAAACGATCACTGTAACCCTTAATAATTTATGACGAGAAGGGTTCAGCAGTTAAGTATCGATGACAAAAAAATGGTAAATAAACACTGAAAGACGAGTAATCCAGTATAGATTAAATTCCCGAAGTTCTAATAATGAACTTTATTTTGTAGAGCCAACCCAGCGGATATTTAGGTATATATGAGAAACTTAGAAAACGTTAATCCTGAACTGACAGTTTGTAAGTAATACTATTTTCTATGAGAATAAAAAGTCTTGGGTTCGATCTCTGGCACAAGTTCTGAACAAGTACATGGGAAAGGTAAAGATTAGTACAAATAATATGTTCACTGTTCCGAGATCTTCAATAGCTCCTTATTTTTTAAACAATAATTCAATCAATATAGAAGTAGAGGTTGCTCATTAAGTAATAAGAATTATGAAATAAAAAAGACCTTATATCCCATAGTTTATCCTGAAAGGTTCAAAATCACTAAAGTCAGTATCAAAATCTCGAGATGCTTGCTAGTGCAAACTAGCAGGATGATCGTGTTGGAGTGGTTTAACGAACTGTTTCTGTTACTACATTTTGATATCTAAAGTCAATGGATAGGTAAAACAAAGCTGATTTAGTATAATTAGGCACTCTAATTGCAAACGAATTCTATTACGATTACCTATTAAAGTGGTATATTTTCTGGAAGCAAATAAAATATATTGATTACAATAGGTGCTTGTCCAACAATAGAAACGGGTTTCGAAAACAGCGGACAAACTTTTACGACCTTCCAAACCATACAATGTCCAATTTCTTCCATCAGTTACCATCCCCCCATTGATTTCTCTACACTTGATTCTAATCTTTCGGTATGGTTGCATGCATTTGATAATGTCCAATATATGATAATTCAACCACTCGACTGCACTAATTTCAGTCGTTCGGTAGTTATATGCTCTTTTGTACGTCTCATGATTTAAATGAGTGCTTTTGTTTCAGGGAAATAAAGTTTCTAAATACCAGCAGCCATCACATTACCAGGCCTGATAACGGTTAGTTGCAATGTGGAAAATTTATAAGGAGATAAGTTCAGTGCATCGGATACAGCTGCTCCACGAGGGAGATGATAATCCGTATGAAAGTACGGGTTTATCAAGTCTCTTCACGAAGCTATCCATCGAAAAACTTTTGTCACTTCGGTCAGGAAAGCATTCCAAGTTGAGACAACCCCCGATGAAGGAAAGTGTGCTCACCTTTGTTTTGAGTTCTTCAACCCACTTTTTCGAGGAATACCCCAGAGGTTGTGATGGTTCTGCTACTGTCAGATTCCGAATGCTGGGTTGATCCAGGATACTTAATATGTTGTGTCATTATTAGCGCACGTCTGATCCTACTGTATTTTAGTGGCAATAATTTGAAGTGTTAGAGTTTATCTCCGTGAGGTTTGATGATTAACCCCATTAACCATCTCGACACTGGATCCCGGAGATTCACGGCTTTTTTAAGGTGAGAAGGTGAAACGACAATGTGAACTTGAAGATGTGGGTGTGTGTTTGTTTAAACGGTGTCAAGCATAATTTGTCTTTGCTTTGGCTTTATCTCTTTGTATTTCCAAATGGTGTCTAGGATTTCTTTTGTCTTAAGACTGTGATGGCGCTCTGAGGAGACATTAGGGAGAGGACTTCCATTCTGGTTGTAATTTGTTTGCGTCACGTGAGGCAGAATGTTCATGGCGTGACGTTTCGTCAGGCCGAGGTTTAACCAGTTGATATAAGGTCCTTTTGATGCTCCTTGCATAGGTCGCGTAGACCAGTGCTGTGGATCTCAGTACGTGAAGTATTGAGGTAAAACCTTTTGCGAAATCAAGAAATAACCTTCGAATCGGTATTTTTCGGTTTCAGCAGGATTTTCAATCGTCCAGCCATATGATGAAATGCTTCAGGACTCGCCTGTGTTACTACTTGAATTTATTATAGATACTGGAGCTTTTAAGTCGTTTTACTTTCCCTTTCATCGTGTGAGTTTCACCAATCCCAGTGTGTCAGATTCTGAAAAGGATCGAATGGCGTATACTCACTTGCTTCATGTGCGGTGTGGCTAAAATATCGGTATTTCAATTAAGGAGTGACTTAGCTTCACAGAAGTTTGCTCTTTTTCACCCTATGGATAAGAAATGTGGTCTTCGAAGCAAAAAGTGTCCCCACTTTACCACTGTTCAACCACAATTATCTTCAAACCATTGATTGTTTGTATATGCTAAGGTTATACGAAAAGTACAAGATGAATAATCGTTTGGTTAGGTTATATATGGTCTCCATCTTAAGGCGCCCCTGTAATCCAACTTGTTTGTTTTAATATCTGTGGTTGTAAACAGTTTACTAACTCGCAATACATCAGCAAATGTTGCAGTGGTTGTGAGCTGTGTTACGGGAGAAACGAAGACATTTTGCTGATCAAACCTTTATATATATAATCATTAATTTCACTGTTTTTTGGGTATATTTGTTTTACTTAACTTATGAACTTGTTTGAATTATTATTTGCGGACATATTGGACTCCCGTTTCTCTTTGTTGTTCGTTGCGGTTTTTTGCTCCAAGAGATAATACATTAGAAGGTAATTGTAATTATTATAATTATTGTTGTTAGAACGACATTGGTCGCCTATTTGTAATAAAATATTTTGGTCGAATTTGTGATTTGGAATAAACTTTGGTATCTACTTTGGAGTTTCGTTCTTGGTATAGAAATTTGGGACCGTGAATTACAATTAGACGACAACAGTGCTTCGTAAGATCAACGAGCAAAAAACTGGACGTAACAAGCTGTATGCTTATATGCGTTAAATCCGATATCCAATATCTTTTTCATGAGCTACTATAAACCACAAGATTTCGTAGCGCTCTACTCCTGTCCTTTCGCTGCAGTCCTGATAGACTGACCCCTGAAATATTAAGGATGGTGGTCCAGTTTTAGCAACAAGGTTGAACGAGATCTTAGGTAGAATCTGGGAACTGGACGTAATCCCATCCGACTGGTCTCAATCACGGATTGTCCCAATCTATAAGAAAGGACAGAAGTCTTCTTGTGACAATCACAGGGGAATAAGTCTAACTACTATAATAGTATCTAAAATTTTGGCCTCAATAATACTTCGGCGCTTAACGAAAGCTCGTGAAGAGCAGACTAGAGAAAACCAGTCTGGTTTCAGACCTGGACGTGGCTGTATAGACCACATTTTCACACTACGACAGATCCTGGAACACAGACACACATTTAGACGTCCGACAATAGTTGTTTTCCTGGACCTAAAAGCGGCATTTGACTCAGTGGATCGTGAGGTTCTGTGGCAGTGTCTGTCATTGAAAGGTGTACCAAAGAAGTACATTAACCTCATACAAGCTCTCTACTCGAGCACCACTGGTCGAGTGAGAGCTTATGGCGAACTGTCACCGGAATTCTTCACTTCAAGTGGTGTCCGTCAGGGATGTCCACTTTCTCCATTCTTGTTTAATTTTATCATAGACATGCTCCTAGATATAACCTTATCCTCGTCTGAATTTTCAGGAGTAGACCTTTATTATGGTGGCTCGCTTATTGACTTAGAATATGCCGATGACATTGTCCTACTTGATGAAGACGTTGACAAGATGAAGAGTCTTCTGACTACCCTAAGCAACAATGCAAGCATGTTCGGGATGCGGTTTTCCCCCTCGAAATGCAAAATGTTGCTTCAAGATTGGGTTGCATCGGCACCTGAACTAGTGATAGGAAGTGAAGTAGTTGAACGTGTAGACCGCT